GAAGGGGGTGGGAAAGTGTCTGGAAGGGGGGAAAGTGTCCGGACTGGAAGGGGGTGAAAGTGTCCGGACTGGAAGTGGTTAATGTAAAGGATTTCTTTTCAATTTAATTTGATTAAACTTAATTAAAATTTAATTTCGGCTGTAATTTAAAGGACTTTTTTTTTTTACACAAAACAGCTTGTAGTTTCTGTTTGCTGATCCTTTACACAAACCCCCGCAAGCTGGAGGGGGGAAAGGAAAACAAATGATCCTCAAAGTTTTGGTAAACCGTGGAAGAAGATCAACTGGAATACTGACGCGCGTCAGCCCTTCTCTGTACTGCGGATGGACGAGGCTTCTAATGGAAGTGTCTTTACATGTTAATTTCACCCTAAACTTAATAATTTAATTATGAATGCCTATAAGGAAAGAGACATCAGCGGCTCCTTTTGTCTCCTTGTTATTACTTCCCAACAGGATGTCCAGCAAAAAGCACAATAATGGGAATTCCGTCCCTTAGGTGATCACTCGAGTTAAATTAAGAAGCTGGGAACCTTCAACAGTCTCTATTGTGCTTGTAATAACTATTCATAACAGCTTCTCATCCAGGCAGACACGTTCTGTACCTTGGGTCCATCAACGTAGTTTGAGTTTTGTCTTGCAAAATATATATATATATACTACTACTATACTCATCGTTCACTTCCACTTCATTAGGTCCACCTTGCTAGTATCAGGTCCACCTTTTGCCTTCAGAACTGCCGTAATTCTTGGTTGTATAGATTCAACAAGGTGTTGGAAACATTCCTCAGAGATCTTTTGTTTCATGTTAACATGATAGTATCACACAGTTGTTGCAGATTTGTCGGCTGCACATCCATGAACCGTTGATTTGTACGAGGCAGGATGGATGCATGCTTTCATGCCGTTTACACTAAGTTCTGACCCTACCATCTGAATGTCTCGGCTGAAGTCAAGACTCTTCAGATTTGGCAACTTTTTTCTAATCTTCTGTTGTCCAATTTTGGTGAGCCTGTGCGAACTGTAGGCTCCGTTTCCTGTTCTTAGCTGACAGGAGTGGTACCCGGTGTGGTTTCTACTGACAGGAGTGGCACCTGGTGTGGTCTTCTGCTGCTGTAGCCTATCTGCTTTAAGGTTTGATGTGTTGTGCATTCAAAGACTGGTAGTCTGCATACCTTGGTTGTAATGAGTGGATATTTCAGTTACTGTTGCCTATCCATCATCTCAAACCAGTCTGCCCATTCTCCTCTGACATCAACAAGGCATTTTAATCTGCACAACTGCTGCTCACTGGATATTTTCTCTTTTTTGGACCATTCTTTGTAAACCCTGGAGATGGTTGTGCATTAAAATCCCAGTAGATCAGCAGACCAGTCCATCTAGCACCAACAACCATACAATGTTCAAAGTTCAGCATGTCATCTTCACCACGTCTAAATGCCTACATACATTGAGTTGCTGCCATGTGATTGGCTGATTAGCAATTTGCGTTACCAAGCAATTGAACAGGTGTATCTAATAAAGTGGCCACCACTACTTTTACTTTGTACTGGCTTTCCAAGATAACAAATCTAATCATTTAGAATCTGTATGAAAAGCTTAGTGTAGTATAATACGTTTAGCAGTTACACAGAATTTTTTTTTTTTTGAGGTCTATACATTAGGTACAAAGGGACAGCAGAAGGAGTTGGTTCCAAAAGATGGACAGTCCTTCCAAATTAAGGACAGTGGAAGTGATGCGCCAAGCTCGTGGTCTCCAAACTGTGGCCCGGGGGGCCAGAATTGGTCCTTTGCTTGCCTTTATTTGGCATTATTCCTCCCACTGATACGAGACACTATTCTACCAACTGCCATCAACAATGGGTCACCATTTTCTCCTATTGACACCAACAATGGAGCACTACTCATCCAAATGATACCAACGATGGAGCACTATTCTTTCACTTAATTCCAAATGTGGTGATGTTCACTCTCGCTGATGCCATGAAAATTTCCATTCCTGCTGGCCACAGACACCCCCCCCCCCCCCCCCCCAAAGTCTGCAGGATAATAAACTGACCCTTTTTGTAGAAAGTTTGGAGACCGCCGCTCTAGTCCACCAAATGGATTTTCCAACCTCATGGTAGAGGCTGGAAATTTAAATGAAAGGCCATATTATGCTCCTACTGGCATACAGCTATCCGGTGTCTGGTGCTACTCTATGTAGGCAGCAGTTGGGTAACACCTTTATTGAAATTAATTATGGTACCATATCTGTGGTCTGGACAGGGACATCAACCTTGATAGCCCAGCTACCCAACTGTGTGGTCAACTCACCTGTGTTGACCTGTACAATATGAAATCTTGTGAGTTTTAGATGGGGATTTTCTATGTCTAAAAATATTATATTTCATTTCAAAAACGAAAAAGGTCTACATATCGACCTAGCCTGTTGGTTCTCATGACGTTGTTGCACAGCAGTTTTCATATAACTGCAGTTTTAAATCTAGGTATATGAAGATTTTTTTTACTGAAAATGTAATCAAACAGAAGTAAAGGATAAAAATGATTTCTACAGTACGAAGATCTTAAGAAGAACCTGTCAATTTCTGATCTACAGATGTTCACTGTGAACTTAGGCGCAGTGAAATGTCTTTTTTGTGCTCTCTTTTGCCCGTCTCTGTAAGCCTGGTGAGATCCAACCACATGCTTGATTTAGGGTTGTGGGATTAAAAGCATTCACCTTCATTGACAGTGAGGTCATTACCTCAGAACCAGCATGAAGGCCAATTCTCTCTCTCTGGGCTTAGCTTCATTTACATAAACATACTGGCATTTCACATCCCCTTGCCCTGACAGATGGTGACATAAAGTGTGCTAGATGCTTTTAAAAATGTCTGGCTCACTTTGAAATTTTTTTTTGAAAGAGAATTTCCTAAAGCAAGCCCAGGGCGAAAACAGCCGGACACCTCTACATTGAAGAGATAATGTTGCCAAAGTATCTTCTACATTAGACAGCTCTGGGTGTGTCGGATCCTGGCATACCCCACTATGCTCTATAAATTCCCACCGGTCACAGGGGACAATGGATGGAACCACAGAGCTCAGTAGGGCAGCAGGTATCCAAAACTCCTCTAAATTTAACTTGCTGAAGTTCGACTATACTGGCAGTAGGACAGGTGAATAACAGTTGCTCGTTTTGCAGGGAATGTCTGTGTTCAATATTTTAAAGATATCAACACTTTAAAATTTATACAAAATATATAGAAAACTTGTGCCAAAGGAATAAATAAAAAATACATAAATGCTGCTGTTCAGAAATTGACTAAACATCAAAATATACTCATAAAAGTGATACAGCGCAAATAATACAGATTATAAAAATGTGAAAAATTATATATTAAAGTCCAAAAAAAAAGTCCCAAATTAAAGTCCAAAATTAAATGGACTTTAATTTGGGACTTATTTTGTTGGACTTTAATATATAATTTTTCACATTTTTATTATTTGTATTATTTGCGCTGTATCACTTTTATGACTTTAAAATGTATGCTGCCCAAGCCAGGGGAGGACACCACCAAGGGATCCCTGTGCAAGGACAACATCCCCCCCCCCCCCAAATGTAACTATTGCCCAGGTGCAAATATTTGTGTACTGAATACAGAGTGAGATAGATGCATATGAAAAGTAGGCTTTGCAATACCCTAAAATATCTCATGGTTCATAAAGTACAACTGGGACCAGACAGTGTTAATCCATTTACCAAATAGCAAGTGTCTCTGGGCCAGTCAGGCAAGTAAGGATTGACCTCACCTGGATAATATAAACTAGGACATGGTAAGGGCACATGACAGTGGAAGAAGGATGTGGAAGTGGAAGGTTCCAGCAACCGCTCAATGCAAGTCTAGTAAAAAGTGTTCCTGTAAATCCCAGAGGGCCCAGTCTGCACAAATGCTGTATCTGCCCTGGCGCTAATAGTATATGGGAGTCACAGCTTGGATCAGGGAAGACACCCATATACTACTACAGCCAGTGGCAAAGGAATGACTATTGGTGTCAGAGTCTGGGTCCAAACCTGGGCCTTCTGCGGTGAGTGGCAATGTTTCTTCTTGCTGAGCCACCTGGAATGCTGGACAGCTCCCTTGACAGTTATTTGGACGATCCTACCTTGACCTTGTTTGTCATGAACCTTGAACCCCTTGCTCCTCCCATGAACTTCCTGATATCAGCCATGTCTCTGCACTTCCTGTTTGCCAAATTATTGTGCTCTCCAGCCAGTATCTCGCTCCTTATCATCCCTGTTATTATCCATATTTTGCCATCACTCGTTATTGACCCTTGGCTAGTTCTTGACTACACTTCTGCCTGATCCCAATCTGCGACTGCTCATTACCGACCTTGGCTTGTTCTTGACTACGTTTCTGCCTGATCCCAACCTGTGACTGCTCCTTACCGACCTTGCCTTGTTCTCGATTATGCTTCTACCTGATCCCAACCTGCGACTGCTCCTTACCGACCTTGGCTTGTTCTCAACTACGCTTCTGCCTGATCCCAACCTGCGACTGCTCATTACCGACCTTGCCTTGTTCTTGACTATGCTTCTGCCTGATCCCAACCTGCGACTGCTCCTTACCGACCTTGCCTTGTTCTCGACTACTCTTCTGCCTGATCCCAACCTGCGACTGCTCATTACCGACCTTGCCTTGTTCTCGACTACTCTTCTGCCTGATCCCAACCTGCGACTGCTCATTACCGACCTTGCCTTGTTCTCGACTACGCTTCTGCCAGATCCCAGCCTGCGACTCCTCATTACCGACCTTGCCTTGTTCTCGACTACGCTTCTGCCTGATCCCAACCTGCAACTGCTCCTTACCGACCTTGCCTTGTTCTCGACTATGCTTCGGCATGATCCCAACCTGCGACTGCTCATTACCGACCTTGCCTTGTTCTCGACTACGCTTCTGCCTGATCCCAACCTGCGACTGCTCATTACCGACCTTGGCTTGTTCTCGACTACGCTTCTGCCTGATCCCAACCTGCGACTGCTCATTACCGACCTTGCCTTGTTCTCGACTACTCTTCTGCCTGATCCCAACCTGCGACTGCTCATTACCGACCTTGCCTTGTTCTCGACTACGCTTCTGCCTGATCCCAACCTGCGACTGCTCATTACCGACCTTGGCTTGTTCTTGACTACGCTTCTGCCTGATCCCAACCAGCGACTGCTCATTACCGACCTTGCCTTGTTCTCGACTACTCTTCTGCCTGATCCCAACCTGCGACTGCTCATTACCGACCTTGGCTTGTTCTTGACTACGCTTCTGCCTGATCCCAACCTACGACTGCTCATTACCGACCTTGGCTTGTTTACTCACCGCGCTTCCGTTTGATCCTTACCTGCTTATACGCTACTGGACCTCCGCTTGCTCACCTCCTGGTGGGGGTGATCCTGAGGACCACAACCTGGTGCTAACATGCAGAATCAAGCTCTACCATCAGGAGCTCCGGTGAACACCGGTTGGTACTTAGATTCCTCACCTCGGGTGATCTCAATCCTCCGCTATGGTGACCTGTCTGTGTACCTATCCTGCTGGTTTCAGGTAAGCCTTTCCACTGCCATAGCAACTGGTCTTTGAGCCTGACCCCTGATCGTGACAATTGGCCTTGAAAACCAGCCTTAATACAACTCAACCCCTTGCTACATACATAAAATCTATATTTTTCGTAAAAGGCCCCAATGTCGTGTTTGAAAATATGCATTTTCTGGGAAAGTGAAGGTTTCCCTTAAAGTGCACCTGTCATCTGCCATCTTGGCATTCATTTAATTGCCTCAGTGGTTTCAAACCCCTGGCCCAGAACAATTATGCAGTAAATAAAATAAAACCTGGGGAAAAGTCAGAATTACTTATCTCTATTCTAGGTTCGGGTCAGTAACTCACAAAGCTTTTAGGTTAAGCAGCTAAGCAGGGAAAGAGGCCATCAATGGTTGCCTTTCTATTTCTCTTATGACAAGTACCTTGATAAAATTATATTGCATTTATTTAAATAATTAACCACCTATAAGTGCTTGACTCAAGCTGGATTGGATTTACATAGATACAATACATATTGTGACAGTGTGGTGATCTGTCACGATGTGGAAGAGTTATTTCACCCAGGATTCTCACCCAGACAGGTTGAGGGGCTCCAGAGGGTTGATGTATTGCAGAGGAAACTGGCTTTTTCGGTTTCCTCATTTATTCATTAAGTCCGTTTTGGGATCTGGAGCCTGGAGATTTCAAAGAGATCTGGGAGGGATGAAATCTCCAATCCTGGGACCAGGTTTTGGGAATGGCCAGGACACTGATTGCACAGGTGTGCATGGCTCTTTTGTAGAGTCAGGACCAGGGTTCTGGGCTCCACCCCGGCAGACAGGAGTCAGGAGGGCTCCACCCCGGCAGACAGGAGTCAGGAGGGCTCCACCCCGGCAGACAGGAGTCAGGAGGGCTCCACCCCGGCAGACAGGAGTCAGGAGGGCTCCACCCCGGCAGACAGGAGTCACGAGGGCTCCACCCCGGCAGACAGGAGTCACGAGGGCTCCACCCCGGCAGACAGGAGTCACGAGGGCTCCACCCCAGCAGACAGGAGTCAGGAGGGCTCCACCCCGGCAGACAGGAGTCAGGAGGTCTCCACCCTGGCAGACAGGAGGTATCTGCCTTGGAGTCAAGAGGTCTTCACCAAGGAGAGGTGGAAGCCAGACTAGCTGTGTGCTAGTGGCCAGCTGTGTGTGCGAGAGCCATAATTTTGGAAAGAGTCTGTAGGAGACAGACATAGAATTGTGTACAAGCCAGGAGGCTGAATTTTCATTTGCATGTGCTTGATGGTGGATACCCCTGTGTGGGAAGCTTCATGTGACGGGACATTTTCTTTAAATAAAAGTGGGCTAAAAAGCCTTAAAAAAGAAAGCGAGTTGCTGTGTGCGTTTAACAAAGCTCTACCATATGAAGCGAGTTCCCACAATATATATATAAAAAATTTAGCAAAACGTCAAAAACCAGCCATCAGAAGTTGGTTCCACCAGCTGAATCAACTAATTGCCCCCACTTCCTTGAGGACGGATTAAAAGGCTTGGAGATTAAAATGATGAAGTTGAAACACACTTCTCAAATTCTACGTTCCTGGGTTTCATGCCATTACAATTCATTTTAAGGTACCTAAAGCCCATTCAGAAAGTGATTCTTTTCCAGCACAATGGAAACTTCAGACTAAAAAGGAGCAGGTTAGTCCTTAAATATCTTGAAAAAAAAAAAAAAAAAAAACAAAAGTTGCCTGCAAAGCCTTGTTTGTCAAATCTGTGGTTGCCACAACCTTCTATCTAAAGTTCCATCAGTAACACGCGGGACAATAGAGGAATGTTACTGCAAAAATAAATCGACTCCTAATAGCTTTCAGAAGAACCGAGGGGAAAGCAATTATATAGCATCTACATGCTAATCTTCCAGAATGGAGTCTCAGAGGAGTTCAAGAACCCTACTCAAAATTCCAACAGAGATAAGGGTCTAGTGCATTTGGCTTTGGTTGGCATAAAAGATTTTTTTTTTTTTTTTTGGGATAATTATCTATGTGCTGAACATTTTTTGCATTTGCTTTCATGTGCAATTCACAGTTTAACCGGGCAAAGATGTATTTATTTGTTGGGAAGAGAACGAAAAGAAAAACAATACGCCAATACGCTTGATTATTTTGTCCCTTCTACAATTAGGTGAAAGCCAACAAAACCAATTTGTACTTTTTTGTGTTAAGCAGACATATCAGGCCTGTTTCTGTCAGTACCGGTCATAAAATCTTTTTTGGTCTTGAATAATTCAACCACTTGACCTCGGGAAGGTTTTACCTCCTTCATGGCTAGGGCATTTTTTTTTTTTGCTATTCAGCACTGTGCTACTTTAGCTGGTAAATGCTACGTCATGCAACGCTGTACCCAAATTAAATTTATATCATTTTTTTCACAAACATAGAGCTTTCTTTTGGTGGTATTTGATCACCATTGGGGTTTTTTATTTTCTATTATATAAATGAAAAATATCTGAAAAGTTTGAAAAAGAAAAAATAGATTTCTGCTTTCTGTTATAAACATATCCAATAAAAAAAAAAAAAAAACAAAATTCATAAATTTAGGCTAAAATATATTCTGTTATATGTCTTTGGCAGAATAAAAATCTCAGTAAGTGTATATCAATTCGTTTTTCTGAAGGGTATAGCATCTACGGACGATGGTACTGGAATTTGCACAGCTATGACGCTATACCAGGGGTGGACTGACCATTTGGAAACTCAGGCACTGCCCGAGGGCCCGGGGTCAGTAGGGGGCCCTATGAGATGCCCCTGGTACCTTTTTCATAGGCTTTTTTGAGTTTGGGCAAGGACACAGGGGCCCAATGATCCCCTATTGCCCGGGGGGCCCCATGAGTTGTCAGTCCGCCCCTGCGCTATACCGGTAATGGCGGTGATGTGCAACTTATAGTGGAGCTGTGATAGTGTGGCGGCCAATCTGCCGCTATCAGACCCTCGAAGGGAAGCACACTAACTGTCTAAATGACACTGACATCCCTAGTGACACTAAGACAGTGATTAGATATAATACTGTACACTGTCACTATACTAATTACACTGGCTGTAAAAGGGGTTGACATCAAGGGGCAATCATGGGGTTAACTGTGTGCCTAACAAGTGTAATGTGTGTAATATGTGCTGCTTATACTCACAGATATGGCTGCATTTTCTCCTCCGATTTGCAAGGAGAAGAAACAGCTAAACCACTGATCTGTGTATAGAGCACTGTGTGTTTGTAAACACAGGACTCTGTGCTGTGATTGGCTACAGCTGATCAGAAGGTCTCAGCCATAAATCATTGGCTGGGACCGGGGGCGTAGTTATCACAAGGCAAACAAGGCATTTGCCTAGGGCGGCATTTTTCGGGGGGGGCAGCAGCATCTTTCAGAGTTCAGCTGCATTTTTCAGGGGGGCAATGCCGCCCCCCAAAAGATGGGATGGAAGAAGGGACACACGCAGCATGGGAACCAGGTGAGATCGGAGAGAGGCTGCGGGCTGCTTGATGGTGTATGCAGAGCCTGACTCTTGTTCCCGGGGATGTCCGGAGCTGTGAAGGTGAGTGTCTTCTCTCTCGTAGGGTCGGGGGGGTTGCCAGTGTATGGGGGAAGGTGGTAATAGAAGGCTGTCTCGGGTGGGGGTGGGGGGGTAAGGGCTGGGGTGTTGTTGGTCAATGGATGGGGGAGGGGGAGGGGGGAGCTGGTCGGTGTCAGGGTCTCTCCATGGGGGGGGGGGGGAAATTTTTGTATTGCCTAGGGCAGCATGAAACCTAAATACACCACTGGCTGTGACACGCTGACAAAATCCCGCTGTAGCATGTGTGCCCCTAACCTGGAACAGGCTTGATGTACATGCACATGATACAACCTGGCTGTGCCGCCCGCCCCGCCCGCCCGCCTGCCCTCAGTCAATGTACCGTGGATGGGTGGCAAGCAATTAAAAAGTGCATTAGCAAAAAAAAAAGTGGTATTTTAAGACATGACAGAGAGCTCATAATTTTGAATTACCGTATATACTCGAGTATAAACTGAGTTTTTCAGCACATTTTTTGTGCTGAAAAACGGCCCCCTCGGCTTATACTCGAGTCAACGCCTGCAGGGGGGGCGCGAGGCTCCGTCAAGGCGGGCACGTACAGGGGTGGGCAGAGGGCTGCTGTCTCTTACCTGGCTCCCACGATGATCCATCCAGGAAGCGCTGCTCCTTCCGTCACTCCGGCCACTCCCTCACTCCTGCCGCTCGGCTCCGCCTCCTCACCGGTGATTGGCCGCTAGAACTGTAGCTCAGGAAAGGTACACAGGCGGCCAATCACGGGCGAGGAGGCGGAGACGAGCAGACCCGCGAAAATCGATGTGAGGGAGAGGCCGGAGTGAAGAAGGACAGCTGACAGGTAAGTGTGCAGTGCAGAGGTGCTGCTGCAACCACATATGCTGCCTGCAGCAGCACCATACTGCAACAGGGGTCAGCAAGTGTCATTGGTGTCAGTGGGAGGAATAGTGCCGCATCATTGGTGTCACTGATACTAATGATGGGGCGTTATTCCTCCCACTGACACCAACGATGGGGCACTATTCCTCCCACTGACACCAATGATGGGGCACTATTCCTCCCACTGATACCAATGATGGGGCACTATTCCTCCCACTGACACCAATGATGGGGCACTATTCCTCCCACTGATACCAATGATGGGGCACTATTCCTCCCACTGATACCAATGATGGGGCACTATTCCTCCCACTGACACCAATGATGGGGCACTATTCCTCCCACTGATACCAATGATGGGGTACTATTCCTCCCAGTGATACCAATGATGGGGCATTATTCCTCCCACTGATACCAATGATGGGGCATTATTCCTCCCACTGACACCAATGATGGGGCACTATTCCTCCCACTGATACCAATGATGGGGCATTATTCCTCCCACTGACACCAACGATGGGGCACTATTCCCCCACTGACACCAATGATGGGGCACTATTCCTCCCACTGATACCAATGATGGGGCATTATTCCTCCCACTGACACCAACTGGGGCACTATTCCTCCCAGTGATACCAATGATGGGCACTATTCCTCCCACTGATACCAATGATGGGGCATTATTCCTCCCACTGATACCAATGATGGGGCACTATTCCTCCCACTGACACCAATGATGGGGCACTATTCCTCCCACTGACACCAATGATGGGGCACTATTCCTCCCACTGACACCAATGATGGGGCACTATTCCTCCCACCGACACCAATGATGGGGCACTATTCCTCCCACTGATACCAATGATTCCCACCCTCGGCTTATACTCGAGTCAATAGTTTTTCCCAGTTTAAAATTAGGTACCTTGGCTTATATTCAGGTCGGCTTATACTCGAGTATATACGGTAAGTGTTCTTTGCCTGTTTTTATTTCTTTATCCCGATACAACGAAGCAACATTCAGCACTTGACCCCCAGAGGTCCAAGTAAACCATACTGTGTCTTGTGTACACCACAGTTCAAGTGACGGGTGATGGGTTTGCCAGATGGCCAGTTCAGGCCTGTCATCAATAACTCCACAGAGGAAGCAATTTCGTCGGCGATAACAATATTGATCATCTGTAGCCTAAAATTTCACAAGGAATACGTGAAATTGTGGTGGTAACGACTGAACCTAAACTGGCAATACAGGAAATTATCAATATTATTACAAAGATGGACAGCCTGACGATGAGTTGACTAGCCAAAAGTCTTAAAATCAGTTGCTAAGTCAAAATCAGACCAGCGTTGGACCTCGGGTTTTTTTTTAATTACAGAGATCGCTTAGATCTCCAGCACTCTGGATTTTGTCTCACCAACAATTTTCTCAAAGTTCATTATTCACTCAATGGCTAGACTTTTTTCTTTTTTGCTTGAATAAGACCAAATACTATGATCCTACACAACTTTGGGTATCAACAAACAGTGACCTTCGCAGACCGAGGCAGGATATCTGACAATGGTGGTGTCTGCTAGAGCAGTTAGCAGATTTTGAAGTATATGGGGCCTGCCCAGAGGTCCAAAACAATGTGGATTGACCATTCTCCAGCACTCTGGACTTTGTCTCACCAACAATTTTCTCAAAGCTCATTATTCACTCAATGGTTAGACTTTTTTTTTTTGCTTGAATAAGACCAAAGACTATGATCCTACACAACTTTGGGTATGAACAAACAGTGACCTTCGCAGACCGAGGCAGGATATCTGACAATGGTGGTGTCTGCTAGAGCAGTTAGCAGATTTTGAAGTATATGGGGCCTGCCCAGAGGTCCAAAACAATGTGGATTGACCATTCTCCAGCACTCTGGACTTTGTCTCACCAACAATTTTCTCAAAGCTCATTATTCACTCAATGGTTAGACTTTTTTTTTTTTTTGCTTGAATAAGACCAAAGACTATGATCCTACACAACTTTGGGTATGAACAAACAGTGACCTTCGCAGACCGAGGCAGGATATCTGACAATGGTGGTGTCTGCTAGAGCAGTTAGCAGATTTTGAAGTATATGGGGCCTGCCCAGAGGTCCAAAACAATGTGGATTGAGCATTCTCCAGCACTCTGGACTTTGTCTCACCAACAATTTTCTCAAAGCTCATTATTCACTCAATGGTTAGACTTTTTTTTTTTCCTCAAAGCTTGAATAAGACTTTTTTTTTGCTTGAAAAGACCAAAGACTATGATCCTATGATCCTACACAACTTTGGGTATGCAACAAACAGTGACCTTCCACAGTGGATTTGAGCATTCTCCAGAGGACTTTGTCCCCTCACCAACAATTTTCTCAAAGCTCATTATTTCACCTCAATGTTAGAAACATGTGGTTCAACAACCAGTGACCTTCACAGCCGAGGCAGGATATCTGAGTATTATGATCCTACACAACTTTGGGTATAAACAAACTGTGACCTTTCGCAGACCGAGGCAGGATATCTGACAATGGTGGTGTCTGCTAGAACAGTTAGCAGATTTTGAAGTATATGGGGCCTGCCCAGAGGTCCAAAACAATGTGGGTTGACCAGTCTCAGATAAGCGGTTGGTGTTATTTTTCCAAACAATGAACCCAGAGTAACATGTTCTTATCACAGATTCCATTTTTGCGAGGCTGCTGTGCCCTACCCCATTGTGTTACGTTTTAGACCAAGTCAAGCTCTGGAACTCCATTGTGCGCAGTACTTATGTGTGTACCCTCAGATCCTTAACCAGGGTCACACCGGCATCCTAAGAAAACCCTATTGTTAGCGTTCCCACACCATTGTAAATAGGACCTATATTCCAATTCTGTACGTCTGAATGGTTAGGTCCACTAAACATTTTACAATGTGTTTCCCATTGGTGTTTGAAACATCTTTGAATTTTTTTAAGCCTTGATTTACATAAGATCATTACGGGTGAGGGGACAATGGGAAAAATGCAAAAACAAAACAAAAATCAATGTATAACACATCACTTGTTTAAAATAATCTTCACCTGTACGGGAATTCATTTTTTTTTTTTTTTTAGATATCTCATTATTGACACAGCTACTACTACAATTTCCGAGGACTCTGGTTGCCTGTCACTTGTGTCAGTACATGCCACGGACTACAGAACAATGTACACCACAATGCAACCTGACTACTCGCCTTATTTTTAAACTTTAGAAACTGGCCTTCCAATCCACGTTCGGATTGCACAAAGACAACAGCGAAAATCTCCCTGGTTGTAGCGAGTGTGTATTTGTGTGATTTGCTTTTTTTAAAAAAAATAAATATTAGGTCTTTCATGATGTTCTTTCAACTATTCTATTCCTTCTGTTAGAATACACCGACAACCGACACCACAGCTGACCATACAATACTA